GTTTTTTGCGATATCGACACATATAAAGAATAATTTTTATCTTAGGATAATTATTCTTTATTCAGAAATATCGCATTATTTATGGCAATTAGATGTGTCTTGACAACGACTATTTGCCTTTACCATTCTTGTTTCTCTACCATTTAGTTTTTTATTTTTATTTTATTCATGTTAATTTGTATATACATACATATGTGTGTGTGTATATATATATATAGCGAGAGAGAGAAATAGTACCTCCTGTAAGGGACAATTATATATTAATCCCTTTGAATAGAGATCTTAATATATTTGCATCTTAATAGGAGACACTCGATTTAAGGGACACTAAAAAAAAAAAAATTCAACGTGTAAGGCAGAGAAACACGAAATTGAAGTTAAATATCCTCTAAGGGGGGGGGGGAAGAAATTTTCCCACACATAAATAAAAGTTTAAAAAAAATGAATCATAAATAACACCATACAGTTCTATTGAAAAGGAATCATTCTTGGCGTTGAAACTGGCAAAGACAGGGATTAATTATTAGGGGACAAATTTGAACTAGATAATCAAATGAGAGAAGAAGCAATAAGTGTGGAGATAATCCCAGGTTTCTAGAGTTTAAAGAAGAATAGATTTCCCAACATTTGAGAAAGACTATCTCAATATGTTTATTCTTCTATTTTAATGACTCATGCTTTTAAGACTTTTACTTTGATGCTTTCAAGTAAAAAAACAAATAATGTTCTAAAAAGCTGATAAGAAATTTAAAAAAAAAAGTTATGAACTTCTAATTCTAATGATCAGTGTTACGGTAAATGTGATTAACCTGGTGATTATACATACTAACCGGTAATTATGCATAATCACCCCTAAATTTGGTACATTGGCCTCAGGAATGCCAGAACTGCTACTCTCTTCCCGTTACCCAGTGAGCACCTGTGGCGATGCCACGGCGGTGGAGCAACGTCGCCCACGTTACACAACCACAGACCCACTTATAGGGCGGGTTGCATTCACACAATCACACACACACAAAGGAGAAAGGACATAGAACACAGAGAGAGAAAGAAACATCCATGCTCTGAGCGGGATTCGAACCCGCAACCATCTGCTCCGCAGTCAAGCACGCTAACCACTAGGCCACCTGGTCGGCACTCGCCATACTAAATGTGATAAATATTATGATTGATTGAGCCAGTACAATAGAGTTCAGTTTTTTAGAGTACTACTCAAAAAGACATTTTTTTAGTTGGACACTATGGCGTAAGAAACCACGAATTACAATATTTTATATTTTACAATTAAAAATTTTATTTAAATTGTTATTTTAAGTCCCATACATTTATTTAGCAAGAACGAAATTTAAATAAGGTACTAACAGGTGTTGTGAAATGAAGAAGAGATACAATTTGCATGAACTTGTATAAATCAGTTGAACATAAAAATACAAACTGCAGTTCTCATATTCTAGTGAAGAAAAAAGAAAACATTTTTTAACATAACGTTAAATGCTATTACTACAATTTACTAAATATTTTAAGTTTACTTATTTAAGCATATTAGACTGTAACGAAAATTAGAAAGTACATTTACACTTATCAGACTCGCGCATTATCCCCTACAAGCACATCCAGAAAGAGATCTGTCTTTCTAACGCATTCTCGAAGTGATAGATCTTCAAGCAAAATAAATTTTTCTTCACAAATTCTCTTACATTTAATTCAATAACATCTTCTTAACAAGCCAAGCAGTTACGAAAACTGAACGAATTTTCTTAAAGTTAGGGAATTTTATCACAATTACCATTACGAATTATCTAAACAAACCGGTTAATTTGATGCGTTTTCAAAAATGTATCATATGTACCAAATTTAGTGGTGATTGCGCATAATTACCGGTTATTATATATAATCAATAGGTTAATCACATTTACCGTGACATATACATTTTTCCAAAAGTTAATTATTTTTAAATTCAATTTTTATTTACGTCAAATAATTGACAATGGCACACGTTATTTGTTTTTAATCCTAATACTACCAGAATTAAATTCTGCAATTTTAATGTAGTTTCTGAAAAAAGGATGCTGCATTGCAAATTAATTTACCGTTGATAGGTACAGCGAGACATTAAAAATATTCAGAATAATTTTCCTTTTTTTCAATTCCTACTCTTAGTTCACACTCTCCCTATCTATCTTGTTCACACTCTCCCTATCTATCTTGTTCACATTTTCAATCAATCGTTCATAAAAATACTTTTTCATTCATTCACTCAAGTTCAATTAAATTTTTTTTAAAAACTTATAATAATGACACTTGATGTTAATACAGTTTTTTATTTTTCAAATATTAATTCATTCATTAAATTTAATAATTTAATTTTATGAGGGAGAAAAACTGTAATTATTTAATAAAAAGTAACTAAAATAAAAAAACATTTTATTTACCTAAGTAGGAATTGATTTTTTTTATATTCCTTGTTATCTAATGAGCTTTGTTTTTGATTGAAAAATTCCCGATCCTGTAATCCCTAATGAAAATGAACTTTGTGTTTCAGTTACCAGATGGCAACATTTCATCCGACATTCTGGAATTCATCTGCAATTACAAAGTATCGGGGGGAAAAGAATGCAAGGACTTCTTGTCACCAACACTCCACACAAAGTCCTCCTGCAATTAATTGACATTTTTTTCTACTTTTAATTGCTGTTCACAACATTGCCTAATTGCCATACAAAATTAAGACATTTTTATATTTGTTTAATCCTAACTCTAGGTGCTATACAGAGCCGGATTATACCTTTCGTAGGCCCTAGGCCCTCCCCTCCTTCCCCCACTCCTCCTCTCTTTTCAAAATATATGCTAAAATTTTCTTGCTTTTTTTTTTTGCATTTTTATTAATATGGATTTTAATTTACAAATTTGTTTATCGAACTTTATCTGCAATACCGACATACTGCCGATATTGCAGTTGATATCGATAATACCATTATGATTAGTTCGATCGATAACTATGTAAACACTTCACGTCAACAATACAACAACAAACCAGCAAAGAAAACAGTGAAATTGATAGTGCGATTGATTACAAGAAATATTTATACTACAAATAGCTTCATAGTTTTCATGATACTACTATGATAACTAAGTGAAGGAAATTAACATTGTCAAAAGTAAATTTTTCCCAAGTTTTTCGTAGGCCCCTGAATTTAGTAGGCCTTAGACACGTGCCTAGTGTGCCTATAGGTTAATCCGGCCCTGGTGCTATACAAATTTCAGAAACTTTTAAAGAATATAAATATGTATTTTTTTATTTATTGTGTAACAAAAGTTCCCAGTATAGCCAAGCTACTCCTGTGGCATAATTTTTTCGAGCTATCTGTGACAAAACTCTTTAGTACTAATATCTTTCTGCAAGATACTTTTAATAATAATAAACATATATGTTACTCATTTAAAATTACAAAAGCGCTGTGTTTACAAAATAATATACATAATTTTTTTTTAATTAAACATGTAATAATTTTTTATTCTAATATTATGGGTGATATTCTCGCATTTTGTAAATAATCATCACAATAAAGAAAGTAATTAAAAATCAAGAAATCCGTAATTGTAATTGGTGAAAAAAAAGATCGACGACGGAATTACGCGAATCCTCAAAAGCGTGTTTCTTTTCGAAATGACGTTGTTGTAATAAATAATATCGCGTAAAAAATATCGGATTTAAAAATTATGGAGAAATTAATAGCACTGACTGCGGAAAGTTCTATAGAATTATTGCCTTAAAAAGTAAATACTCAAATGCACGATTCGAATTTTCCATATGGTTTGAAATATATCGGGATCCCCACATGAAAAAGCAATGTCAATAACTGCCGAAAATACAATCGAAACATTACATCGATTTACGATACTATCGTCGTAAATTTACTTCGTCAAAAAGTGTCTATCTAAATATATGATTCAAATATTACGTGTAAATTTCCGTCAAAAAGAAAAGCAATTTTTTTTTTTTACTTTTTCAAAAGAAAAATCTTTCTGCAAGAACTCTGTAACGTTCTTCGACAATATCGCCGTGTAGCTGTGATTCTGCCGCGAGTACTGTTTACATTTAAGATAATTTTAATGTATAATGGAATTTTTCAAAACATGTTATTGGCCTTAAAGATAATTTGTCTTTTTCTTTTATAAACTAGATATGTAATCTTATTCAAAAACTACAAAACTAAATATGAACATTTAAAGAATCGTCAACTTAGAGAAATAGGAGTCGGCGAAATACACTCCTAAAAAGGCTTTTGTTATTTTATTATGATTCAATGCATAAAATATAGCAGTTTAAGAACATACTCAGAAATACAGCTATAAAAATGAGTTTTTCATTTTTTAAAACAAAAATTCATCATTGAGAAATAAAATAAAAATTTAAAAACTACGTGTTTTAAAAGTAAAATAAAAAGAAGAAAGTAATTCTTCTATTTTTGTCAGACTTAACAGCGCATCACTTTCTAAAAGAGTGTGTAGGGATTGGATTTAATTATGAAAGTGATGTGCGGGACTACAGTTTTCGTTTTAGGTTTGCCAAAAGAGAAACTAATTTCTTTTTTAATTTACTTAAAAAACATAGTTGTTTAAAATTTTTATAATAATTATTTCAATTTTCTGAGTTCACGTGTTTGTGACCAAAAGTAAGGAGAATTTCAATGCCATGATTCCATCCTCTCACAAACTCAAAACCAATTTTTTTTTAATTATAAGAAAAAAAAACAATCTAATAGGTACTAAAAAATCATATTAAGTTATCGGAATTTTATGTGTTCTAAAATATAAAATCCAAACAACGTAGTTAGAATTTTTTTTCATTCATATTTCATATCTCACTTATTCATTCGTATTTTTTTTCATGAATATTGAATGAATTGAATTTTGAATTTTATGAATATTGAATTTTGCAGATAAAATAAATTTCAATGATGAATAACTGTTTGTCTTAAATTACTAAATACTAACTGAAAATTTGAAGGGAAAAAACTACTGTTTATAAAGCGAACCGTGTTTGTAAAATTTTATCTTTTACGCAGAAAAAGACACTGTTGTCTGATGCTGTATTTCTGTACCATAAATTATTAAAATGCTAGATATAATAAATAAAGATATTGATGGTGTTTATGCTTAAAACAGATCATTGAAGACCTTTTTTTAGTAACACAATAAATTTAATAAAACAGAATGTAAATACATAATCACGAATATAATAATATCTTTACATGAGCGCAACATATGCACCAATTTAAAAAAGAAAGAGTTCTTGTTGATTTTTCCCTATCGGGGAAAAAGTCTGATCATTTTACCTGTCACAAGTTTGATTTTTTCCTTTTTATAGCTCCGAATCTCACTTACTGTTTTTCACTTATTTTGGCCTAAATTAATACAAAGTAAGGAAAAATATGTTTAGCAAAAATTATGCGTCAAAGGGTTAAAATGGATAGTTCTAGCGAGAGAAAGTAAACAGTTGTCAAACCAATTTTCTTAAAATTTATATAAATCTTTTTTTCCTCCTTGTCATTATACATAATCCAAAAGACATTGCAAAATTTTTCATAAAATCATTGATGTATACTGATTACAGTGGATTGTTTTGGCATTTTATATATTCTTAAGAGTGGAAGGCTGAGAGGTTTTTTGTAAATCCTCAGAATGTCTAGTTTTGTCATTTTATTAGGTATTTATTTTGTTGTATGCTGTGTGAATGATTGAAAAGTTTAATGTGGATAGTTCTGCAAGGACCAGGCATTTCTCTTTAGTATTTCAGTTCGTTAAAAATAAGCAAGTAAAATATTTAAAAAAATTTAAAGTCAATTCCTATCGACAAAGAAATTTTTTATTTTAGTTACTTTTTATTAAATAATTACTATTTTTTCACCCACATAAAACTAATATTAATTCATTAAATTTAATGAATGAATTAATAGTTGAAAAAAACTGTATTAACATCAAGAATCATCGAGACTACAAGATTAAAAGAATGTAATGCGTGGGTGAATAAAATGTATTTCATTAAAGATTGAAAATTTGAACAAGATGAAGGGAGGGGGTGGACTAATAGTAGGAATTGAATAAGTATTGGATTTTTAAACTTTAAATAGTTTTTTATTCATTTATTATTATTTTTTGCTCATCCAAAAAAAAAAAGTTGATCCCATATTTATCAGGATTTAAATTTAGTGTAGCCTAACACACTCCAAATATGCATTGAAACATATCACACCTGCTATCGAACCAATAAATTGATTTAGGACGACTCCAATTAAAGTGTGAAATCGCTCTTTAATATGGGGCACCCATATGTATCGGTTTTAGCATCTTCATTTTCCTCTACGAGTTTAAAAATACGTATAAATAGAGGTTAGGCAACTTTATTGAAATAAAATATTTTACATAAAAAAGTAATAATTCTGTTTAAAATGGTGTTTCACAGAAAAGCTTCTGAATGTTATAAATGATTAACCAATACAGAAAACACTTAGATTTCATAGAGCACTTAAAAAAGACTTAACTTTTGTAGGTATTTTTGAGGATTTTTCCAAAATCCCTCCATTTTTGATTTTTAAGACATTTTAAGTACGCAAAAAAATGGGATTAGAGTAAAGGAAAACAATCCATTTGTAATGAACATTACTCAACTTATTCTGTCATATTTTATTTTATATTAAAATATACAGATATTAAAATATTTTTAAAAAAAATATTCTTGTTTTTTTTTCCTTCTATTTTATAAAGAGAAGGGAAAAAGAAGAGAGAGAAAGCGGAAGAAAGATTTGACTTCTCTAATCCTATTACTAAGTAAGATAAATCTTCTCTCTTAAATGGTCACCTTTCTCTATTCTTTCGTTTGAAGAAAGCTATTTCAAAAAGGAACTCTCTCTTTCTTCAGATGAGGAGACAGCTTAATGAAATTACAATCTTTCTTTGCACTCTTTAAGGAAACTTATGAAATAGTTGAATAAGAAAGGGTGATTATTAAAACATAAATATAACGAAGTTTTTTTAAATTCCAAATAAATGGTATAAATCAATTATTTATCCAGAATATATAGGTGATTCTCACCGAATATTATAACTGTCATAAAAATATAATACAGTTAAACCCCGCTATAGTGAACTCCCGGATAAAGTGAACGAAATGTTCGCTTCCGTACATCGCATATTATACACATATAATATTGTTTTTTGTGGATATAGTGAACCGAAAAAGGAGAGGAAATTGGATATTATGAACTTTTTTCTGTCTTCGACTGATTTTTCCTTCTTCATTTTTTTGGTAATTTTGAAATTTCTACATTAAATACTTATACCGTATAAAATACGTATAATTTTAAAACCATCTATTGAGTAGCCATAACCATTTTTCCTGTTTGCTTCTTTTATCTCAGTTTCACATCCCTAAATTTTTTGTATGCAAGGCGTTAACACATTTTTTGTTACTACATATTGTTTTTTAATCATTTTTGTATTTTTTTTTTGTTGGTCATTTATTTAAATAATGTGTAATAAAAGCAGTTCAGAAGAATGAGTTAAAATGTTTTTCAGTACGGATATACTGACGCCCGGTGGCATGTAAACTCTCTTTACACACATAGTATCCCCAAGAGATTTTGATCTCGCTGATTGGCTTTCTCGGCATTGGCTTCTGTTACGCCTTTTTGTAGCCCCATTTTTGCCCCAAAATGTAAATCAATCATAAATCAGTTCCAGTATATTTCTCATACTAATTTTATGACAAATGTTAAAGTTTTGTTCAAACAATTAAACAGAGTTATTAATTGTATTTTAAGAATAACACATTTATTTAAATCTAATTTGCTTTAAATTTTATTCTAATATTTTTTAATATTAATGCTATGAATTTTAGGCGAATGCAAGGTAAATTATCATGTTTAGGTAAAACATCAAATTAGTATAATAATAATTATTAAACATAAATTAAAGTTTCATTAGCTAGCTTTTATGTAATATATATATATATATATATAAGAATTGATTAATATTCAAATTGAATAGCATTGTGAATATCCTTATGCACTTAGAAATTAAAATCTCTTACTTAAATTTATTAAGTATGATTGCAGAACCACTCAGTTAAGTTTGAAATTATTATATGAGATTTTAAAATGCATATGAATAAATTTTTAAAATTATGTTTGAAAAAGATCTCATCATATCTTAGAGGATGATATTCTAAAATGTTAAAAAAATTTAAAAATTGTAGAATTTTTTGAAAAACTTCTTTTACATTTCTCCTGCGCCACTTTCATAAACGCACTGTGGGGACAAACAAATAATTTCCTGCACTTAAATAATAAAAAAATATCTATACAATCCAATAGAAATGTACTAGAATTAAAAGAGGGAATATTTTGTAAATTTATTCTTTAATTACTCATGGTATTAATTTAATGGACAATTCATAATCATTTACTTTTATTTTGATGGGAATTATGCAATCAAAAATTAATAAAATAAACATCTTAAAAGACAATTGCTTGATTTCTTAAATGTCAATTAATAGTTTTTCGGTATTATAAAACATTTAACAAAAAAAAAAGGAAAAGAAACATTAAAAATAAGTTATAAATAGGTAGGCATAATGCAGATCTCTTAGTTTTAATTTATAATAATAGATGGCGCCACTAATAAATCTTAAATTAAAAGTTTTATAATTTAATTTTAGTAATCCACAAGAAATAAATAAAATATTAACTTAATTCAATGAACATTAATTTAATTAAATAATTATCAAGTGAAAACTATTCAGTTTTCATTTTATAGTGAGTATAAGAATTAAGTAAGGCACTTAAATTCGATTTCAAAGTTATTCTATAAATTAGAGGGATATTAGCTTCATAAGAATTTATGTATGTAATAATCATAAATGTAACGAAAAAAGCATTTTCCATAAAAATTAAATACAAATTTTTTCTTGAAATAACTAAACCAGTTATTTACCTACAAACAAATCTT